GGGTTGATTGTCCATTTGTCCATTTCAGTGTTTTTATCTGTATGCGTGTATTACCTGCACCATGTCATGCAATACCCTTGGAGGTCAGAAGAGGCTGTCGGATCCCCTGGGACTGGAGTTATGGACAGTTGTTAGCTGCCATGTGGGTGCTGGGATTCCAACTCGGGTCTTCTGCAAGAACAACCAGTGTTCTTTACTGCTGAGCCATCTCTCCAGCCCCCTATTGGTCTTTTTGAGATAAGGTTTCTCTGTTGTCCCAGCTGGCCTAGAACTCCATATGTAGACTGAGTTGCTGGGATTTCAGACACTTGCATCCAGCTTGACTAGAAGCTCCTTGTACAATTGAGTAAAGCAGCCCATTTAGTTATGTAGCTTGTGCCTTACTGCTTCAAGCTTGAGGGTTAGTGTTCCTTAACTCGTAGAGATGAAACAAGGATGCATTTATATTCAGCTGGGATTGGGTTGGGTGCTTTACTGGTTTCTATTTCCTGATCAGTTGAGCTGTCTTTAATTCTGGGATTGGGTACTAACCTTTCTTTTTCCTTCTTTTTGAAGCTGTAGCCCAGCTGGCCTGGAACTTACTATGTAGACCAGGCTGGCCTTGATCTTACAGAGATCTCCCTGCATCTGCTCTGCCTTTGCTTCTGTCCCTGCCTCCTGAGTGCTGGGATTAATAAGGCATGGCCACCACACCCAGCTGACTTCTTTCTTTTAGTTCAAAGAGAAACACTTTGCTTTACTGTTCCTATTAGCTCTGGCTTGGAGGGCATAATTTGCATTCAGGTTATGTTCTTTTTTTTAAAAATATTTTATTTATTATTTTTATTTTATGTGTATGAGGCAGAGGACAGAAGAGGCTGTCCGATGCCCTTGAACTGGAGTTATGGACAGTTGTTAGCTGCTATGTGGGTGCTGGGATTTGAACCCAGGTCTTCTGCAAGAACAGTCAGTGTTCTTAACCGCTGAGCCATCTCTCCAGCCCCCATGTTATATTCTGAAAAGCATCTTAGGAAAGTTAAAGTAAAATAACCCAAGGATAGAGAAATGGCTCAGTGGTTAAGAGTGTGTGTTGTTCTTGCAGAGAACCAAAGTTGGTTCCCAGCACCAAGTCAGGCAGGCATACAACCAGCTGTAACTTTAGCTTCATGGGTATTAGACAACTTTGGTCTCCACAGGTGCCTGCACTCAGGTGCACATACCTACACACATACATATAATTTTTAAATATTAAAAATAAATTTTCAAAAAGTAAACTAACTGTAAGTTTATTGCAGAGTAAACCTTTCACATTTTCTTTTATTATATTGTGAGCCTATATTTATATGACGTCTGAAATTAGGAGTTAAGTTGCTTTTATGAAGTCAGGCTGTAACATCCCTATTTTGTAGTATCTCATACTGATAGTTTTAAAATTTACACCTTTTAGAGTGAATCATCATTTTGGAAGCTAAACATTGTTTTACTCTTTAGTAAGAAAAGCTAACATTTAATATTAGGGCCTTTACGTAGATTTTCTCAATGTAATTCTCACAAACTCTAGAAGTGCTCTCTAAAACTTCCAAGTGACAGAACTGAGGCTCAGCAAGTAATTTGCCCAAGGTCAAAGAAGTTAGTAAATAGCAGAGCTGAGATTTGAACCTAGAGCTTGCTATGTTGTACTGATCTCCCTATACAGCACAGAACTTGTATCTAAGGTTGAAGTGAAATGGTTCTGGTTCCTAGACCCTTCAGTTGGGGCAGGTGAGAAAGCAGATCTCTTTTTATTCTTTAATGTCTCTGATTTATGTTCACTGTCAGAAATTGTTAACAGTAGTATGTAATTTATGAAGTAGCATATACTGTGCTTTCCCAGAGTAACAGAAAACATAAGGTCACTGGTTTCCTTGTAGATTCAACAACTCCAGCAACAACACACAAGGAAAAAATGAACCGTGACCCATCACTGAGGATATAGTCCAGAGGACACAGCAAGAAAGACCTGTGTTAATACTCCCCACATACTAGGGAAGGTGTGGCTCTGCCTAAAGCTGGGAAAGAGGAGATGTGGGTCAAATGGAATTGGTCCTTCAGGCTTTCTTTCCAGAATTTCTGAAGTGAACTACTGAATTTTCTCTCTGCTCTGTGATAGAAGCTTTGCAAGTAACCTAACCTGCAAATTAGGATTGAACTTTTTTTGTGTCTTTCACTCAGAATTATTAATCTCATAATGCTTATTTTTTCAGACCCCTATTCTGCTGAGGAATGGCCTTTACTGATAATGGGGAAATCCTGGAAGACTTTCTATAGATTTTTCTCTATAGACTTTTTGTGTATAGATGCACAGTATATTGAAGGTCTCCCTGCTACTTACTTTATATTTGACCTTAGTCAAAAGGCCAAGAAGTGATTGCTACTTACTTTAACAGTTATTTATTGGGGGGGGGGGCATACCTGTGCCACAGCATGCATGTAGAAGAAAGGAGAATTTGGTGGGGAAGTCTGTTCTCTCTCACCCTGTTGGTTCCAGGGGTCAAACTCAGGTCATCAGACTTGACAGCAAGGGCCTTTACCTGCTCAGCCATTTTGCCAGCCCTTAGTTTTATTTTATAATGAAGCTGGGAAATACTATATGAGAGATAAGTTAGCACTGAGAGCTTCCTGAGTTGGGCTTTCAGGAGGCTGAGGCAGAAGTATTGCTATTCTACTATTTCCTTTTATATTTAAGCTGTGAAACCAAAACAGTAGGCAATAACCATGGTAAATACACAGAATAATATTCTTGGGGATACTCTGGGTGGTTGGGTGGTTGGGTAGTTGGGTGGTTGGTTGGTTGGTTGAGACAGGTTCTCATGTAGATTAGGCTGGTCTCAACTTGATATGCAGTGGGAAATGACCTTGAACTTCTGATCCTTTTGTCTCTACCTCTCAAGTACAGGTAAGAGCTACCACACCAGGTTTATGTGGTGCTGGGGATCAAACCCAGGGCTTTATGCATTCTAGGCACTCACTTTACCAACTGAGCTACATCCCCTGCCCAGGACAGCTCTTCCTTAAAACAATTTTTCAATATCGATGTTCTTAGAGAGCATGAATAAGAAGTAGAATGTTGAGGCTTAGTTATTTTTAAAGATTATTATTATTATTATTATTATTTTGCTGGGCGTGGTGGCGCACACCTGGAGTCCCAGCACTTGGGAGGCAGAGGCAGGCGGATCTCTGTGAGTTCAAGGCCAGCCTGGTCTACATAGTTCCAGGCCAGCTGGGGCTACAGGGAGACCCTGTTCAAAAAGACCAAAAATAAATAAATAAATAAGTAAACAAGTAAAAATAAAATAAATAAAA